GCTGAACTGCAGATAGCAGTCAGCTGAAGTGGCCTGCAGTACTGCACTCTACCCACTGCGCCACCTCGGCTCTGGTTGTATATCCTACATAGATAAATCACAATTTTCCCCACATTCCATTCTTTCTACACATTTATTCCTAGTAAAACAAAATAATGTTAATATCTAAATAAAATATTATATTCTTTCTCCAGATATGAAACCTGTAGTATTTCTCCAGCATGGTTTGCTAGGAGATGGAAGCAACTGGGTTACCAACTTCGCCCACAACAGTTTGGGTTTCATCCTTGCCGATGCTGGATTTGATGTTTGGATTGGAAACAGCAGGGGGAATATTTGGTCCAGAAGTCACCAAAATCTGTCTGTGAATGAAGATGAATTTTGGGCTTTCAGGTATATTTTATTGTTGCAATCGTGGCATTTTGCAGCAGGGAAATGGAATGAAAAGAGAAAATAATTTCCATCTCATGCCATAAATAATTTAAGATCCAAAATAATTCAATTAGATCTGGCATTTGCTTCTAGGGATGAATTCATTTTTGTAATCCGTATTCAATATTCTAATGTTGGAAATTGGAACATGTACAATTCTACAAACTGTCTCTTCAGAATTGTGGAATATGTTTCCATATCAAGCTAATATGGAACAGAAATTTTGATACACCATCTAGAGGACAATTATTGTATATAGTACTGTTCCCACTTTATTTCACTCACTGTTTTGGCTTCCTTCAGAATCCCCATCAGATTGTTAAAAAGATTCTTGAATTCAATTCTTTTGCCTTGTATCTTTCCCTAGCTTTGATGAAATGGCAAAGTATGATCTTCCAGCTGTCGTCAATTTCATTCTAAAGAAAACTGGCCAACAACAGTTGTACTATGTTGGCTACTCACAGGGTGCTGGATTAGGTATGTAAATGAAGAAAAGCTGTTATGTAGTGTTTGTGTTGCAGCAGTCCAAATATGTAGGAATTTCATACTATGAGGAAAGTGTGTGTGTGGGGGGGAGATTAATATTAAAATAGGGTTTCCTCCTTGTTTGAAAGTTTTGATAGTTCTCATTTCCCTTCAGGCTTTCCACAAAGCCCTTAAAACCTGGCTGTTCCAACAGGCCTGGGGCTGACAAGTTCCCGTCCCCGCTCGAATTGTGTGGCTGTTGATTGTTTTTAAATTCTTTTTGTAGTTGCTTGTTTTTTTCCCCCTTTTCTGTATTCCCTCCCCTTGAGGGCTGAAGTGGCCTGCAGTACTGCACCCTAACCACTGCGTCACCTCGGCTCCTCACATGAATTACCCTTATCCATCATTCAGCACCATGAATGGTCATGACCTTTATTGCTATTTGTCCACATGCCAGATATATGTGGGGACAGCTCCTCCATACAAAAAGGGATCTAAGAGAGATCTTGCCTAATCATCCCTTTTTACACGGATGGGGATGAAGACAACTGACCATAATAAATCTCAAATGCATATTTGTTAGGGCAGCATAGTGCTGGCATGATATAGTACAGTGTGGAAGAACATGGACCAATATATCTGAGATATATTGGTCTAAAAAAGCAAAAAGATGGTTACAGCCAGACAGTGACATTATCTTTATTTATTTTAATAGTCACCTATGGATGTCCTTGGCATTTGTTCAGCCTTGTGTCCCATTCTATGAGTTCATTTAGTGCCTGGGATAAACTGAGTGTTTTACAAGAGAATTTGTACGTAAGATGTTTCAAACAATGTTTGAAAGTTAAAGCAAAGTTTGTGCAGGAGATGAGCAGGCTCAGCTGAAAGGTGTGAGTTTGCAATCATCCCAAAGGTGCTTTTTCAAGAGGCAGCTGGACTTTCTGTTTTGTTTTGTTTTTTTCATTGAAGACACTTTGCTTCTCACCCAAGAAAATGAAGAAGCTTCTTGGATGAGAAGCGAAACATCTTCAAAGAAAAAGCAGAAAATCCAGTTGCATTTTGAAAAAGCATCTTTGGGACAACCATGACCTGGATGACTGAGAATCTCCATAGACGGTCAGTTTGCCACAAGGTTCTCCTCCTTTATCAGCTGAGCCAAGGAAATAGGTATGTATTTAGTGTCACAACCCCTGGTATGC